GAGGTGGGTAAAATGAGGACCCGGATTGTGGTTGGGGGCAATATGCTGACTCTGTAAACCGCTTAGAGAGGGCTGAAAGCCCTATGAAGCGGTAGATAAGTCTAACTGCTATTGCTATTGCTAAATAGGTCCTGAGCTCCATTTTCAGCTGTGATGGCCTCCTGCAACCCTCGGCCAGTGAAAACAGAACTCCGTTTTTGCTAGCAGAAGCACCATTGGCCGGTCCTTCACAAGGGCAGCCCCACGGGCCAGATCTAATCACTCATTGGGCTGGATCCGGCCCGCGGGCCTTGAGTTTGACACCCCTGGTCTAGGAGTACCTGTACAGGAATCTTAAATTTGTTGCAGGCCAGACTTTTGAGTAATCATGTTTTGTTTCTTTGAATCATGACCGGTGAGATTTCTTTGAATGGTAGCATCTAATTGATGGAATTCCTTCTGTTTTCTTTATCCAGGAATCTCAGAGGTTGATGATTAGGCCATAATGACAGCTGAAGATTCTACAGCGAGGATGGATAATGATTCCTCCAGCATGCAGACAAATAAAATTCCCGAAGGGCTCTCGGGCGTGCCAAACGAGGCCGCGCTATTGCAATTGTTAGATCGCACCGGTTACACCATGATTCAGGAGAATGGGCAACGAAAGTATGGAGGTCCACCCCCTGGCTGGGAAGGCTTACACCCTCCCCGGGGCTGCGAGGTCTTTGTGGGCAAAATTCCTCGGGACGTCTACGAGGACGAGCTGGTCCCCGTCTTTGAGACCGCGGGACGGATCTACGAAATGCGGCTGATGATGGATTTTGACGGTAAGAACCGCGGCTACGCCTTCGTGATGTACACTCAGAAATACGAAGCCAAGCGTGCAGTCAAAGAACTCAACAACTATGAGATCCGTCCGGGACGACTGTTAGGGGTGTGTTGCAGCGTGGACAACTGCCGGCTCTTCATCGGTGGGATCCCCAAGACGAAGAAGAGGGAGGAGATCCTGGACGAGATCTCCAAGGTGACGGAAGGCGTGCTGGACGTCATCGTCTACGCCAGCGCGGCCGACAAGTTGAAAAACCGAGGCTTCGCTTTCGTGGAGTACGAAAGCCACCGAGCGGCCGCCATGGCGAGAAGGAAGCTGATGCCTGGACGGATCCAGCTGTGGGGGCACCAGATCGCTGTCGATTGGGCCGAGCCGGAAATCGATGTGGACGAAGACGTCATGGAGACGGTGAAAATCTTGTACGTGAGGAATTTGATGATCGAGACCACGGAGGAGACCATTAAGAAGGTCTTTGGTCAGTTTAACCCCAGCAGCATAGAACGGGTGAAGAAAATCCGAGATTACGCTTTCGTGCACTTTACCAGCCGCGAAGACGCGGTTCATGCCATGAATAACCTCAACGGCACCGAACTGGAAGGGTCGTGTCTGGAGGTCACCTTGGCCAAGCCGGTAGACAAAGAGCAGTATACCCGATACCAGAAAGCCGCCAAGGGAGGAGGAGGAGGAGGAGGAGCAACAGCCGCCGAAGTGACTCAGCAACCTAACTATGTTTACTCTTGCGATCCGTACACGCTCGCCTATTACGGGTACCCGTACAATGCCCTGATTGGTCCAAATCGAGAATATTTTGTGAAAGGTGAGTGTATAAATTTTGGCACAGCTCCCGGAGGGATTAGAGTTACGTCCCCCAAAAACAAAAGGGGATTATTTTTTTAGTGTATTTATTTTACGACGGAGGCCTATGTATCTTAAGTGGCTTTCTTCGCTTTAATGCATTCCAGATGTGCTGGGCATATACAGTTCCTAGAAATCATAAACCCCGTGGTCAAGACGGTTGCCCCAGATCGGGGAAGGTGGATCTTTGACCTTGTTTAAGTTGCGAACAACGTTTTTCATGCTAAAAATATTTCAACTTCTCGGCTCGAGTGTAGCTCAGTTGTGATTAAAAGGTCAATACACAACACAAATGGAAAAAGAAAAGAGATTTTTTTTCGGGCAGTAACCCACCCCTGCTCATAAGTCACTTTTTTCAAGGTCGTTGTAACTTGAAACAGTCACTAAGTGAACTGTTTTAAGTCGAGAACTACCTGTAGCGCTGAAAAGCAAATGGGGACCTTTGTGAATTTTTTTTAATAACCAGAAGTAGGCTTACTTTTAATTCTACTCTCTGTTAATGAAGTCCATTTTTTTTTAAAGATGCTGCAGTTTTGTGACCTTAAAGGATAGGAGAATATTTATCCATTTGCCAGAAAATGTATAAGAAAAATGGAGGAAATAATGATTAAGCGACATGCAGCAGCTGAATAGTATAGAAACAAGCCACCTTAAATTTTAATTTCAGCTACGTTGATCACACCGTATTAGCTAATCTTTCTAGATAATAAAATAATAAAAAGTCAGTTCAATGGCCACCAAGCAACCTTTGACAACTGATCCAGGGAAATTAACAATCTCTCTCTCTCTCTTTCTCTCTCTCTCTCTCTCTCTTTTTTTTTTGCTTTTCGTGTAAACGATATCCAAAGTTCATAAACAGGTTCACAATTTGAGGTCAATGATTTAACAACACGGGAATATCTTTATGTCCCAACACCCGCATGACACATTTCTTCCAATTTGATTTCATTTTATTGTACCCGAACAGATATTTAAAAGGGCCAAAAGAAATAGAGATTTTAAACGCCGTGCAAAATTGAACAAGAATTTGCAAGTCGCCTTTGAAATCACATATAAGGAGAGAGAGGGGGAAGGGAGGGGGAGGAGGTGATTGAGAGATAGAGAGAGAGAAAAAGGGAGGGAGGGGAAACCTAGAGAGAGAAAGGGAGAGAGGGTGAGAGATAGAGAGAGAAAGGGAGGGAGGGGGAGAGATAGAGAGAGAGGGAAAGGGAGGGAGGGGATAGGGAGGGACGGGGAAGGAGAGGAGAAAGAGAGAGAGGGAAAGGGAGGGAGATGGGAGGAGGGAGGAAGGGAGATGGAGGGAGAGAGAGAGAGAGAGTGTGAGAGAGAGAGTGTGTGTTGGCCTAGAAGTGGAGTTCTCGCCTCACAATCAGGAGGCTGTGAGTTCAATCCTAGGTAGAGGCAGATATTTCTCTCTGGGCACAATGAGAATATATCTGCGGAATATAACTCCGCATTGGTGTCAGGTAAGGCATCCGGCCAGTAAACACTCAGTTCCATTCAGATACACAGAATCCACCCCAAAAGAGATTATAGGCTCATTAAAAGGAGATGATTGATAGGTATAGATATAATGTTATATTTTAACTGTTGAAACCAAATCAATAATTAGCAAAAAAAATAATAATAATAACTAACGTAATAATAATCAGAATGAACTATTAATGGAAATTTAGAAAGCCTATCTTTATAATAGTAATATATTTATATCTATGTTATCTATACTGTCATAAATCATTCAAGAGCTAATATTTTAAAACTATGTTGAGAAAAAGCCCAGACTTTAGATGCAATACAGCAAATGCCCAGAATTAAGGTCCATAAATATAGGTAGTCCTCGACTTACAACAGTTCATTTAGTGACCGTTTAAAGTTACAACGGCACTGGAAAAAGTGACTCATGATCCTGTTTCAGACTTACAACCTTTGTAGCATCCCCGTAGCCATGTGATCAAAATTCAGGTGCTCGACAGCTGACTCATATTTATGACGGTTGGACAGTGTCCCGGGGTCACATTGATCCCCCTTTTGCGACCTTCTTACAAGCGAAGTCCATGGGGATTCACTTAACAACTGAGTTACCAGCTTAACAGCGGCAGTGATACACGGTGGCCAGAAAGGTCTTACGATGGGGCCGTCTCACTTAGTAACTGAAATTTGGGTCTCAATTGTGGTCGTAAGTTGAGGACTACCTGTAATTTCCAATTTACATTCTGTATCAGGATTTTAAGGACAAAACTAATTTTTTTACACCTTTTTTTTTTTACCTTGGGATCCATAGTGAAGAAAAAGCTAGGAACCACTGGCCTAATCCACTATTTTTTCCACAGGAGTTGTGTTAATTTGTGGTAGGAAAAATAGGCATCCTGACAACTGTTACCATAGATACCCGTGAGGGCGAACCTGTGGCATACCTGCCACAGGGGGCACACGGAGCCATTTGTTAGGGCACGCGAGGCGTTGCCCTGTCAGCTCCAGCGCACATGCGCACACTGGCCAGCTGATTTCGGCCTTCTTTTGAGGCCGTTTTTCATCCTCCGGAGGCTTCCTTGAAGTCCCATTCCCAAACTTCCGGTTTGCCCATAGGGCCAGTTTTTCGCGCTCCGGAGGCTTCTGGAAAGCTCCTGAAGCCTCCGGAGATTGTTTTCGCCCTCCACAGGCTCCTAGAAAGCCTCTGGAGCCTGGGGAGCGTGAAAAAAGCACACTAAAAGTGTGGGTGGGGGGAGTGCCGGCGCACTGGGGCCACGCACATAGCATTATGGCCATGGCGCGCCCGTGCACGCCCACCCCTGCGCTCCCCACAATTTGGACACGCAAGCCAAAAAAGTTCAGCCATGACTGATATATACTCTTCACCTACTTTGTAGAAATATAAACCTTAATCAAACTTAGCAGAGAAACAGCTGGCAAGAAAGAAAGGTTGATCACTAGCCAATAAGCCGCCGTTGCCCACGTATTTATTTATAGGGAGGGGGGGGGGAAATGTCCGTAATTTCTAATGTTGGATTTCCCCTCTTACCAGAGGGAGCCCCCTTGTGGAGTACTGTGAAGCCGTTACCAGGGCAACTCCCTACAAAAAGAAGCCATTTTATGGTAGTACAGTAGAATCCATTTTAAGGAACAACAGGCTGTATCTTAACAGAACACACACCCCGAGGGGTGTTAGGGGTGTCTTACCCCCCACAGTATTTGTTTCCAGAGAGTAAGTCATCTGTGTACCAAGTTTGGTTGAAATTGCTCAAGGCATTCCAGAGTTATGCTGGAACATACACACACACATATATACATATACATATATATAATTANGTGAAAACTGAGTTTGGCTGGGTTTGTGTTAAAATAAGAGTGTGGGATTTTTTTTCCCACTGGGTGCTCTGGGCGTTACTTTTAAAGGAACTTTTCAAAGCTGCAAAAGGAACTTTTACTGTACGAAAAAAATACATATCTCTCTGTTTCGCGTCAAGAAAAACTCGCCCTGTATTGATTTAAGGATCCCCACAGTTGGTTCTATTATTTTGGTAAAGGTTTCGTTTTTAAACACCTTCCGTTTATGAATATAAAAGGAAGCCAACTGACATTTTCAGTTCTTAGATTCCAAACAGGAAGAGTTTCGGCTTATTGTTTGAAATAATCTTCGTACAGTTTCATATTTTCATAGAGCATTTCAGTTTTCGGATCGATTAGATGAGAAAGTTGTGATTTGCATTCTGAAAAGAGCAGACGGGTTTCTGAAATAGCCCGATGTTTCATTAACTCACACGCTGTTCTTCTGAAAAGATTAACAGGTTGCTTACGATCTGCCTGGATATTTTAAGGATATTGCCTTGGGCTACAAAAACATAGTTTTTTTTTTTCCAAGGAGATCCCCAGATTGTTCTTGATTTCATTGGCCGGGTCCAATCCAAGAGCAGATTTCAAAGTTGGCTTTTCACTTCTCCCCATTCAGAAAATGGACGAAGCCTTAACTTTTTTTTTTTAATGTGTTTTGCTTTTCGCCCAAACCCAACTTTAAAATTAGAGCTGATTTTATCCTCATATTTGCTGAATCACCATTAAATATATGAATATTCTTGAAAGGATCTTTTTTCCTGCTTAAGCATTTTACCGCATGAAAGGGACGGAGAGACAGGGAGGGAGGGAGAGGAAGAGAGGTGGAAGAGAAAGAGAGGGAAAGCAAGTGGGGGAGAGAGGGAGGGGGAGAGAGGGAGGGAGAGAGGGAGAGGGAGGGAGAAATAGAGAGAGAGAGGGTGGAAGAGTGGAAGAGAGGGAAAGGGAAAGAGAGTGGGAAAAGTGGGAGAGAGGATGGAAGAGAGGGAAAGGGAGGGGAGAGGAGAGGGAGGGAGAGAGTGGGAAAGAAATGGAGAGAGGGAAAGGGAGAGAGAGGAAGAGAGAGGTAGAGGGCAGAAGAGTGGAATAGCAATATAGCAATAGCAGTAGACTTATATACCGCTTCATAGGNTAGGTTGTAAGTCGAACGCTATCTGTATTTTATTTAAAAGTTTCTGATGACGTGAATTGCAGTTTCCGGGAATGGGTGATTATGAAGATTCTTCATAAAATCTGTCGGCGTGGCTACATTCCTTCTGCTTCTTCCTCAGAAGTCGCTACTTCTGGGTTACTCAGCGCGGGAAGTTTTGTAACCTTACGAAGTGGGGCCTGGTTTCAGTTCCACTTTGCTTTCTTTCAGGCTGTCCCCTAAAGTCGGCATAAAAATTGATTTTTCTCCTTAAACAAAATCGTCTGCCAAGCAAAATTCGCTCCTTCACCACCTCCTCCTCCTCCTCCTCTTATCTGTTTTGAGTCACACCAACTATTTGCACAGCCGTTGTGCGAGGAAGCCTTGTTTGTATATGATTCACTCTTCTTTTCTTTTTTTTCTTCCCCCCCCCCCAACCCCACCCCGCCTTCCCCTTTTACCAAATTGGATTTATCTTCTCTAATTCCTGGCTGGGTGGGAAAAACTTGCTTTTTATTTTTCCCCCTTCAGCTTCAAACCGTGGTTATTTTTTTTTTTTAAGAACCTGATTTGTTGCAGATGGATTTCCCAATGACTTTTGCAAAGTGCAGCGGTAAACTTTCTCGCAGTGAGTGGGTGGGAGTTGGTCCTCTCCGTCCCACCTCCTCCTACCTCTTTAGCAATCTTCAGCTGAGGAATTTAAATCACCAAAGGTTCATTTGACCAATAAAGTGATATATATATATGTGTGTGTCCCTGTATAATAATGTTTCCCCAGACCTCGTGACTGGAAGAAAAGGTTATTCTGGCAAAGGTAAAATTAAGCTGTTGCGGGAACCGGCCAGGTGAGTGGAAAATTTCTTTGCGACGTAGGTGCCTGCTTCATATTACAAGAAAAACTGCTCAGGTTAAATGCAGGAGTGCTCCCCCTTTTTTCCCCTGGTCTGTTCCAAATAGGTTCCTCTTTGCGAGTAGGAGAAATTTTTATTTTTTTAAATAGAATTTGAGAGTAGGGTGAAATCACAAAGGGGGAGAAATCTCAAGCCACTTCAACGTGAGTGCGCAGGGTTTAGTAGCCCTCGAAAAGGCAATGGGGAATAACATTTTTTTTTCTCCCCCGCAGACTGAACGCACTTAAAGTCAAGTTGTCATTCTTTGGCAACTTGAAGGAGAACCACAAAAGGACTCCTGGGCCTTTTGTGGTTCTCTTTTTATGGGGGGGGGGGGTCTCTTCATCTTATGGAGTAGTTTGTTTTTCAGGACGATCTGATGGGGAGTTTATTTATTTTATTTTATTTATGCATTATTAGTTTG